CTGCTCAACGTCAAACTTTTATACTTCAAATTCTGTTGATATTTGCACATTAAAACCATGCGGGAGGGGGATACAGAATCTTATGGGGGATTGGAGTAGTTTGATTCAGACACGATCAAAATTCTCCGACCCCACCCCCTTCCCCGGCGAGTTACAAAGATCGATCCCTTTGTGAGAATTCTGTGGCATTAAGTTTATTTATATGCAATACTAGATACGCTAGCGGTTTCTTGGTTATTAAAATCATTGTCTCATGTTAGATCTAGATGAAAAGGAAAACAAACAAGCTGTCAACTTGAACTTCTTTTCCCGAAGTTAGCGTCTTTATGACTCATTAATCAAATACAAATTCCAGTAACAGACGATAATGATGAGATCAAGAGTCAAACCGTCACTTAATTCTGAGAATTTTTTCTTTCCTTTCCGTTACAGAAAATCTACTACTCCTAGATCTCAGAGTTTGCGATTTTGCAAAAGAGATTGTTCTTCGGTAACCATTCGGATTTAATATAAAATGTACAAGAGCTACAGACCGAATATACGATTACTTATCGCAAAATTTGATACAGTCTTAAATCGGCTCGTAATCACGCACGCGTATGAAGTACAGGCCCTGATCAAGCGGAGATGTTTTCCCGGAATAACAGAGCAGGACACGCTAAGTCGTTCAAATAATGCACGGTGCCTCTCAAAGAAGGCACATGTCTAATGAAGGTAAAAACCACACCGTGACATTCGATGAACTCTTTGTATCCTCCACCGCACCATGAGGATGGACCTCGGATGCGCCACACAATTTTATATGGTCTATTCGTCTCCAATAATATTGGATCATCGAAAAACACGTCAAATCCGTAATAATAACCATTTGTAAGAGCAACCTTTCTGGATAAATGCGTGCCTGAATGTTTTGTAAATGTTATCCAATCGCCATGATGTCTCTTTACTTCAACTGTGACATTGTATCGCTCGAAGCAGCCGAAAAGTTGAATGCCTAGCAGGTAGATGGTCTTATCGACAGAGAAAGCAAGCTCTCCCATCTTATCTCCATAGTTCCACTTTTCATCTCCACGCGGAGGATGGAAATTATCAAATCTAAGGCATAGATGAAAATCGACTCTTTGAGCCGGTGAAAACTGTAACGGGGTCTTCAGTTCATCCAGATAAAAACTCAACATGTGAGATATTTCCTCGTGTTTCAGAATGTTTTCCGTTTCTCTGGATATCGTCACAGATCTAAACTCTTCGTACGACATCAGAGGAAATCGAATCGCTTTCACAATTTCTTCCCCTAAAATAATTCTCCTTTCCTTTCCACCAAGCGTTATTCCTCGCCTCTCACATTCTTTTACGCCCCAGCGATCAACAGCTTTGAACAGTTCTACTTCTTTAATATTCAACACTTCTTTCTTCACAATAGATTCAACAACAGATCTCTCAACTGTAGCAAATTCGTCTAATGTCACAGCTCTTTCTGTCTGCTTCTCAATCACTTTCCAACATCGATTTTCCAAATCTGTATCTTCAAACATACGAGCACACGACAAAGTGCAAAAAACGTTTGATACCTTCACTTGGAATGCATGTTGCACAAATTGTTTGCAGCTCAAGGCGAGTTCAGGTGTCATGTACTTCTTCGCCAAATACCATAATTGAAATACGTTACTTCCGCTCAAGTTCGCTTGGTCGCAGTAGATGTAGCGAAATAATTCTAACAAACTCTCGTACTCGCAGTCACTCAGTTCGATAGAGTCTTTAGTCTCCGGCAGTGGACCATAAAACATAGAATGGAACACACGACTACTGATTGCGAGCACAAATTTGTGAGCTGGGATGACCTTTCTAGTTTCACTTTCTTCGGTGGAGGCTTGAACAACAAAACTCACATCACTCATTTCCTTATTGTTGAAGAGAAATGCAATTTTTTCCTTCTTTGTTTGCCTGTGTGAGTGCCAAAGATCTTCAAGAGAAGGCATAGTTGCAATCTTTCCTAAGCTGCTGATGTTAGTAGGGGTTTTTTCCGAATATTCCTTGTTAATCAAATATTAATACAAACAAGGTTTGGGTACTGCTTCGCCTGTCAGAGATAGGCCTGGGGTTAAATTTGAAGGACACGTGATGTAGTCACGGTCTTAATCATATGCATACAAAATAATAATAAAAAAAAAGAAATTGACAAGGTTCACACAGTGACACTAGACTCCTCAGTTAAATATCACTGCATTATATTTAAGTAGCTAAAGTGCTAAATGACGGCCTAAAGTTATACTGTCATTGAAATATTTTATAAATATCTCAAAGCCGATTCTTAACGACACTAAAAATGATTACAAATATTGCTACACATTTCCTTTAACTAAGAGGCGAACCACACGTTAATTGGCGATTCTGAAATGAATGTCCCCACCAAGCTGCCGGAGGAATATAAGTTCCCAATCGACGGCGCATTTGTGGCGTGTCCTTCATTGTTCCTTTCCTTGGAGTTTGTATAAACGGCAGAAGCGGTGTCGGTAAACCACTGAAGTATTTCATCAGGTTTATGACTTCACTTGTCGTTAGAATGTTACTGTCGGGTACGGCCGACATGAATTCTTTTTGTGACATCAGTGGGAACCGTATCCCCTGCACTATTCCGTCCCCGAGTATCCGTCGCTTTGATTCACAATTACTGAGGCTTTCAAGAAGGCCTTGTCTTTCGCTTTCTTTAGACACCCAGCGGTCAACAGCTTTGAATAATTCGAATTCTCTAATGTTTAACGATTCTCTGTTGACAATAGTCTCCACTCGACACCTCTCAAGATTAAAAAATTCCTCTGATTTCACGACACTGTCTGCATTCTTATCAATCAATTCCCAGCATCGCTCTAAAAGTTCATTTTTGTCGAACGCCTGAGCGTGTGGAAGAATACGCAACACATTGTATGCGTTCAGACTTTTCTGCAAATATTCGGTGCATTTATCGACGAGAGAGGGCACTATGTACTTGTTTGCTAGATATAACACTTGAAGGACGTTAGTTCCACTAAGATACGCCTCATCGCTATAGAGATAACGAAAGAACTCCAGCAAGCTCTCATAATCACAGTCCGGTAGTTCTATCAGGTTTGAAACAGACTCAGCCATGTTCCCGCGAAACATGGCTTGAAACACAGGGCTGCTGATGGAAAGAACGAACTTGTGAGCTGGTATCACCTTACACTCGCCGCAAATCGACGATCTCGCTTTAAAATTCACATCGCTCAAGAACTCGTTGTTAAAGACAAACGCACATCTCTCTTTGATAGTTGGTCTGGAAGTTTGCCAATCTTTCTGTGCCTCCGATGTACACAACATTGCCGTTTCTTTTAACTAGCGCTCAGCTTAAAACGCTCTTACTGATCTTCTACGCTTCAACAAACGAATATATTTAGTCCCGGTATATACCTGACGTCTCCTTGGTAAACAAGGACTCCAATACTTCACGGAAGGATGAGTGTGACGTAAATCTTGGACGGCTTAAAAATTTTCCTCGTGGAGCTGAAACGCTACTTTTCTTTCTTTTTTTTTTTTGAGTATATTTTTTTTATAACTTCCGTTTTATCCAAATCTTACTGATTCGATCTGAAGCATAGCCTCTGTCGAGCAATCAGTTTAATCTTATTGACAACATTCATGACGTATTCCGCTTTTCTGTCGAGAATCATGTCATTCAAAATGTTCAGAGAACACACTCGAACAGTACACAATGTTTTACACAGGCATATATCTATTTATATCGATTCAAGGGAAACCGAAAATCAAAATTCACAAGACAGCCGGTGAACACTGAGTATCATGATGTCATATTTATTTCTCCTTCCTGATCAGGAAAGTTAGGGTCATCAGCCTTCAAGATGATATTTTTCTCAAAAAGTAAAAAAATATGAAACGTACAACCTACAGATGCAAGTGTTGATAATGATTTTTTTTTTATTGTAAAGATTATTCTTACGGCTCTGCTTTTGTGACAGTTGAGAGAGGACAGCTCAAAAAGGTAAACCGTGTCAAGCAAGGTGCTTTCCCTTACAATCTTTCGCAACAATACTTGTCTTCAGTTTAAAATATTCTTAGGTATTATGTTGACAAGGCGTGAGGGGCTTTTCCCAGTTCTCTAAGGTTTTTACCTTACTTGGACTTGACCAAGACTTACAAAGAACTTACATGATGAAAAAGTTGCGGAGGTGTGCACTGGAGGGCAAGGGATTATAGGGATTATTTTTCGTTAGAGAAGGAAGTCCATATGATATTTTATCCGCACTTATCTTTCAGACACCTCCTGACTGACAGCCTCACAGTGGCACTGTGCAAGGATCTAACTTTGTTCGTGCTGAAATTCAATAATTATCAACAACACTCATTGTTCAGCAAAATATATTTTTGGATAAAAATGTTGATGTTAGGGGTTGGTGTAAGGGGTTTTTCCCGTTTTGTCTGAGGGTTGTTTACCTTACGTGGACTTAACAAAGACCTTCTAATCGGTCAAAGAACATGCAGGGATTAAAATATTAGAGAAGAAAGCACTGGAGAGAAAGGGAAGTTGCAAGGGATTATCTGTCTTTCGTTGGGAAGTACACACAAGGTACTTATCTGCACTTCTCTTTTAGTCACCTCCTGACTAACCGCCACACAGTGTAACTGTCTTGTTGTTGGGTTAGAAATTTACTCATGTCATGTCTAAATCAGTACGATTTGTTTACCTTGGCAAGTGAAATAATCGAAAATTTGTCACAGTATGAGAAGAGTTTTGAACCAAGCCTCTTCTCTGTCAATCGAGCCCGGAAATCGGCGTCATTCATAGAGGAACAAGTACGGGCGAGTCAGTCATGTCTTTATCTTCGACAGCAAAGTGCAGAATTGTGGGTTTCATCGGAAATAACGCGAGATTGAGGAAAAATATCAACTCGACAACAAATATCCCAAACGTGATTCACGATTACTTCGCCATAATTTGTAGTATTTGATCTTGCCATGTTTCCTCGCAATCCTTTACCCTTTCATCCCAAATCATCTAATTTCTCCATTCAATATCAGCAAGGAATCAAACATTAAGGTCATGAGAATATGGGAAAGGTTAATCAACTGAAGAACCTCTAAATTGTTAAACAAATTCTCCTAGCCAGCTCATTAGGAAATGTATAGAGAGCAGTAGGGAGAATATGCATACTGATGTTTAGGTGTAAAAGGGTAAATGTTGTCCGGTACACGTTTCTCATACATTTGACTCTAAGAATTCAGTACTAAATCAAATACACGCCCCCTAGATTAATATCTTTCGTTTTTCTTTTCAATATCTACTCATTAACGTAGTGAGATATTGAGAGGAGAAAGTCCTTTTTGGTCAACGCTTTAAATGAAAGTGTCCTTGTGTCCTGCAGATCTTCTTTGAAACTGAATGCTTAGTTAGCAAAGGTTGTTAACCCTTTAGCCTCTGAGAGTGACTAGCATCTAATTTCTCCTTACAGTATCAACCCTAAATCAAACATTAAAGTCATGAGAATAACGGAAATGATCAACAAGCACAGGAGCTCTTGATTGTTAAGCAAAATCTCCACGTCAACACCTTAGGAAATGTATAGAAAACAGTATGGAGAATATGCATACTGATCTTAGGGTGTAAAGGGTTGATCGAAAATAAGCAAACAAAAAATCACGAAGAGCTAAGTTTGATAAGAATTGGGCATTAAACGAGACTTACAATGACGAATATCTGACGTCGAGGCTTGCACGTGCGCTATCAGTCTTTAAGGGAATTGTAGTCTTCATTTAAAGTTTGTTAAAATCAAATACTTTAATATGAATAATTACCATTTTTTTGTAACTCTAAGTTCAGTTTTAAGATGGCTTCTTATAACAATCATTTAAAGCTGTGTTCAATTATTTAAAAGATAGCCGGCAACAGTCACTAGTATCAACTCAGTTGTTTTCCAGTATTTTAAGCAAGTTAATTCTCTAGCTTCCCAAAAGCCTTTATAGGAACTAACAAACAACACTCGGTTGCATTCCACCCACAGAATTCAGGCCAACTTGGTATGGAAATCGTTTGCATGCATTGATTGACTTTTCAGAAGAAATAAATACTCTACGACCGTCCGTACTCAAGGATTCTCCCTCATCTGTGGTATGATTGAAGTTGTAGTAAAACTACCTTCGATTTTGATATAAAGTATAAATTCACTATTCCGAAAGAGATCTTTTGTAAAGGTAAACAACTATCAAAGAAGTCATAAGAAACTGAAAAAAGAGGGTGGCTAAGAAGGGAGGAGATTGACATGGATTATAAATGACGATCCTTCTTTTCCTTTCTTTTTTTTCGAGGTCAACGACCACGACCTCCC